ATTTTGAATATTGCTCATTCATTAATCCAATCAATATTTATTAGGCTGGTACTGTGTACCAAAATTGTCCTGGGGGCTGGAGATATATTTTTCCTATTTTTCAGGGAAGTGATGTTGAATGCTATGAAAGTTTGAGGGCTACAATATGGCTCATGCTGCTCTAAAAATATTTGGTATGCTGCTATAGTTTCATTTTTTCTTATAAAAATATGGAATATGAATATTTTGAATATTGCTCATTCATTAATCCAATCAATATTTATTAGGCTGGTACTGTATACCAAAATTGTCCTGGGGGCTGGAGATATATTTTTCCTGCTCTTCTGGAACATATAAGGCAGTGCTAAAGAAGTACCGTGGGCCCGTAAGTACTGTAGGGTGGTACCCTAACCCTTACAGTGTCAGCTTATGTATGTTGCACATGTAAATTACCATTTTTTAAAAAATCATTCGGATTGTTTTATCTTCCCTCAAAAACTATTATAAATCTCTCTAGATAACCACAGAAAGGTCTAAATTTTTATTTATGTTAGATTGAAAACATCACATCAATTGAAACCAGATCTATCAGTTCCTTGAAGTTTATAGTCTATAATAATATTAATATTTCTACTATATTATATGCGCCCTGAACTTCATCAAGCAAATGCAAAGGATTCAGGTAAGAAGTGCTCGATCTCATTCTCTGATGACCCATTCTATGAAAATAACAGCCTCCACTCTCTATCTCTGTCACTTTCACTTTTCTGCATAATTATTCTCATTCTTGGACTCATATACCTATTTGTTCATTCTCTGCCTCCTCCTTCAGAATGTGGACCCCATGAGGGCAGGTGCCTGGAGCAGATCCTGGAACTCCATAAATATTTATGAATGAATAAATGAATGAATGAACAACGCTGCCATGGCTAGACACTTTTTATGTCATCTTTGCCCTGCACACCGGTCAACGTACCTGCTATGATATTGTCCAGCAGTGTTATAGGCATGCAGAATATGCCAACTAGTAAATCACTGATGGCCAGGTTTAAAATGAAGAGATTAGTGACCGTGTGCATATGTTTGTTCCTCGTTACAATAAAGCAAACCACGGTGTTTCCCACTATGCACAAGAAGAAGATCAGTAAGTAGGAAATAATGAAGATCGCTGCCACTTGGGGCCGGTGAAGATAGTAGTTCACGTAGGTAACATTAATTTCCGAGTACAGATGATGCTTTGTGTCATTGACGCTCCAGACGGGAAGCCCGTTTTCTGAAGAGTTCGAGTCCCATTTCTCATTCATGATGGACCTCGACAAAGGAGAGGCAGAAAGGAGAAGCATAATTAGAAGCCAGTAGAACATAAGTTCTGTGTGTGAGTTTAAGAGAGACACTTAAAAATGTCATGGAATTTTAATGGGCCTTCTTTAATCATCCATCAGTTGCATGGAACCGAGTTATAAATAAGGTACTCAAATGCCACTTTATGCCTTAAGTAACAATTATTATTATTTTTTATTTCCTAATACACTCAATGTTTCACTTCTTTGGGCATACCCTCTATCCATTTGCAACATTTCCCTTATCTTCCAAAACTCTTCTTCTCTCTGCCTTCAGGTATCATAATCTGTCAAGACCCACTTATTATTTTAAGGCTAATTTATATGCCTCTGGCTTTCCTGATCATCTGAACAAGATGAGGTGTCCACAGCTTCAAAACTCCCATAGAAATAAGCTTCTTGGATTTGCCTTACTCTGCTTTGATTCAGTTAATTGAATATTCCTTTTGTACACCTCCATATGCAGATACCAGCCGCCATATTGTGAGTTCTTAAAAGAAGGCTAACCTGCTTGTCTTGATTTCACTTAGCATAATTCTGTTCACATAGAATGTACCGGTAAGTTGTTTAGAATCTATATGTCTCAGTGTGGACATCTCAGTCAATGCTTGTGTGTCACAGGGAGGTCCCCACAGCTACTCCCAGGTTTGATGATTCACCAGAAAGCCTCACAGGACCCAGAATGTAGTACATTCACAGGTCAGAGTTACTACAGCGCAAAACAGCAACGGAAAGGCACACGGAGTGAAGTCTGCAAGAAACCAGGCACAAGATCCCACAAGCCCTCTTTCATTGGAGTCACACAGGACATGGTAGATTCTCCCAGCAACAATTTATGACAACATGTGTCAAGTGTTGTCTACCAGGGATGTTCTTTACAGACTCAGCACCCAAGGTTTTTATCAGAGAATGTTCAAAAAGGGACCTTCTTCCAAGCATGTGTCAAAATTCCACACTCCTGGATGAAATAGAATTCAATAGAAACTTGCCGTACTGCCGGAAGGAAGTATGTTTGAATTTGCCAACCTCGTGGCCATAATTTCAGGAGATGCAACTTAGGCTTAATAAACATTCGAATCAAGTTAGTAAATTACATTGAAATATTATGATTACTTCTCCTCTGAGTAAGAATTCAAGAGGATTTAAAGACTGTAGTGACTCACATGACAAATAGAGGCAGGCTGACAAACCCAGCTAAAAATCAAAGACCTGGGTATTTCATGGACTGGACCAACTAGAGACATTCCTGAAACCATAAAAAACTTATCTCTTACAGAGTCTGCCAATGAGCAAGAGACTTAGAAACAAATGGAGCTTATTTTGGCTTTGGCAGAAGTTTGTTTGTTTATGTCAAAGAATCCCTATTCACGAAATCACCAGAAAGATAACAGAATTTGAGTAGGGGCTCTGAGCAGAAACAATTGCTAGAGGATGTTCAGAGGGTGATGGGGCAGGATGGTCTACTAAGACTTTAGGACTTGACTGCTCAGATAATACTAGATGTATCTGAAATCAGAAAAATACACAGACTGGAAGTCTCAGCAGAAATGAAATAGTTCAGTGAAGCTCTCTTATGTTTTGAGCACGAAAGCTGCCTAAGGTAGCTGTTCCTAATAAACCATTTGAGAGACAATTGATGGCCTGTTACTGAGAATTCATCAAAACGGCCCCACTACAGAAGGGCATTAGAACATTCTGTAGCTAGGAATACCAACTTTGCCTTGGGTGGTGTCAGAGACATCGCATAAGGATCAGAGAGTACCGCAGAAGTTCACTCATAAACTAGAGGTAGGATATTGGAAAGCATACTTTGAGAGGAGGGCAAGTTCACAGAAGGGGATCACTGCATACAAGAGTAGGTTGCTTCACTGCTTGTAGGACTAACAAAGGCCTCAGAGGACTACTGCAACCCCCTCGTGCGTGCTGTGTCTCATGAATCACTCCCAGCTGAAGCAAAGGAAGTTGTCTGGTTCACTGATGAGAATTTCTGGATCGTGTCACCTTTCGGTTTGGAAATCAGCAGCCAGACACCTTGCAGACGAGAAAAGCTTGATCAAAGAAGACAGAGCCAAATCCGTCTGCACAGTGGACAGAGATGAGAGCAGATCAAAGACTCTTCACTTGTAGCCAAAGGCCTTGTTGTACAGTCAGAGAAATGGGCATTCATTGAAAAAACTCCTGTGGGAATTTAGAGGAAGATTTAAAGTGTGTCACGTACCTAACTGCCAGAAATAACCAGCTTTTGGTTCAGAAGGATTTGGGATAAGGCAGGTGCTAGGTTTCTAGAATTCATTGTCTGGTTCCTGAAGTGAGCAGGCATTGGGTACCCAAGCCATGCACTGTGGGGCTAATGAGACAAGAAACTGCACCCCAAGGTCAATAGGAAAGGAGTCACTTAAAAATGGCTGTGGGAATCCTGCTAGTTCTAAAAATGTGGGTGAATCTGTAGGACAATATGCTAAGAAAATTAACCAGTCGCAGAAAGACAAATACTGTATAATTCCATTTCTATGAGGTATCTGAAATAGTCAAACTCACAGAAGCAGAAAATAAATTGGTGGTTACCAGATTGAAAGGATAGGAAATGGGAGTTATTCAATTGGTATAACGTTTGTGTTATGCAAGATAAATAAGGTCAAGAAGTCTGCTACACAACATAGTGTCTATGGTTAACAATACAGCGGTGTGCACTGCCGTGGTCTGAATGTTTGTGTCCCCATAAAATTCATATGTTGAAACTTGGTCCCTAATGCAATAGCGTTAAGGGGCCTGTAGGAGGTGATTAGGTCAAAAGGGCGGGCCCCTCATGAATGGGATTAGTGCCCTTCTAAAAGGGACCTGCAGGAGCTCGTCGTCCTTCCACCACGTGAGGACAGAGCTAGAATGTTCCATCTGCGAGGAAGAGGGTCCTCACCAGACGCTAATCTGCCAGTGCCTTGATCTTGGACTTGCAAGCCTTCAGAACTGTGTGAAATAAATTTCTGTTGTTTATAAGTTACCTAGTCTAGTTACTTTGTTATATCGGCCCAGATGGACCAAGACATGAACTTAAAATTTCGCTTTGTGCATCGTATCAAGGTTTTCTTATGGTGTTTGTGTGGCTCTATTACCAAGTGGCAGGACAGTTTTATGATTCGTTATGTACTAAAACTTGCCACATCTCCCTGGAGGCATGGCCAGGGAGAAGTATTAGCAGGACCGCTGTGTTGCTGGTTCTGCGGTGAATCACATGCTGGCTGAGCTGGAAAGTTCAGTCACTAAGGGAAGGATGTGGGTCAAGACAGATCACAGCAAATGGCAAAAGGGCTTATGAGTAACTGTCTCCCAGGGAAGGAAATAATTATGTCATTTCCCTGCCAATACATCAGGGCAGATAGAATAACACTGTTGGACATCTCTCTCAGATCTGGTGCTGACTCATGGCCAGTATTGAAGGAAAATTCTTGGACTTCTCTCCGGAAAAAGAAGATTGAGTTCTCATTAAACTGTACACTGAAGAAAAGAAGAGACACATTCCCCTGACTGATACTGTAAGTGTTACTAACGTATGGTGTGTCAAACATTAAATCAATCTCTCTGTCCCAGCTACCTAGTGTATTGGGGGTTGTAATTTAATTAATAGAATTAAATGAAGCCCAGACTTATGCAAATGATGCTCCCTCAGCTAAGGAAATGCTTTGAGAAGCTGAGTTGAAGCCATCCATTGATATAAAATATGTTAAAATGGATTGTCCAGAGGAGAAAGTGAATTTAACTTTAGAAATATTGCACATCCAATTAGATACCTTAAATCGTATAAAATAATCCAAACAACTTTGTGCAATTGAAGATAAACAGTAATTGAGATGAAATAAATATATCACCACAGAACTGGAAAAGGGCTATTTGAAAGTCTGGGAGTAAAGGAAGACAGAGAAA